ATAAGTTTTTACGGCGAGGGCGCCTTGTCTTAGTAGGGGGGTATGTGGGAAAATTAAATATATGCCATGTCATAGTTTTCACTGGTCGAGTAGTGCATGTCAACTTTGTAATTTTATGTAAGGGCGCTGAGTTGCATAGCAACCCGTCATGCGCAAAATAGATGCGCGTTATACTTGTGTCGTCTGGAAGTGATTGACCACATAATTTTTCTCAATTTCGGACAGGATTTGCTACCACTGTAAAGGTAAATTACATGTTATGTTTATCACAGTATCAATTGTTATAATCCAGAGATTACCATGATACGTTTATAATTTAAAGGTAGAGTGTAGATTTTGTATATTTCTGACGCATCTTTTGAAAACATTTTCTGTTTACGGCAGCCATATGTAAATTTGCGAACGTAGTAAAACTTAGGTCAAGTTAATTACTCTTTCATATTTTAAAGTAAACATTAGTTAAAGTAGTTTTTTATATAAATTCAGTGTGTTTATTATGCATTAGCCTGGATTTCCAATTCCATTTCAAGTAAAAGGGGCAATATAACTTGTGATCAATTTCATGTTTTTGGCGGGAGTTTAGGGGAAAATTTTGCCGTGATTTACAATTTGTAAACCCCTAGACGCCATGTTTTTCAATATTCATCAATGGCGGGGCTGTGTTGAATTTTGTCCGGAAGAAATTCAACTTTAAATGACCGTTTTTGGAGATATAATGAATACATCAATGATAATTTAATTGCGACATTACATTGAAGAAACTTCAGAGTGAATTTGAATTACCGGCGCTCAAGTATTTACACGAAAACGTAAGTGAAACAGTTCCACTGATATTTCATGAGTTTATTGTCCATTTAATTATCACCAATGAGGTTGTGTTAGCTCGTGATCCTGAAGAAGGGTCATTTGGAGGGACTAACTTTATGTAGATGTGAAGTGTTAGCTCGTGATCCTGAAGAAGGGTCATTTGGAGGGACTAACTTTATGTAGATGTAAATTATTAGCTCGTGATCCTGAATAAAGGTCATTTGGAGGGACTAACTTTATGTAGATGTAAATTGTTAGCTCGTGATCCTGAATAAAGGTCATTTGGAGGGACTAACTTTATGTAGATGGCATGTATTATGAGGGAATAAACTGTGTTGCAAATAGTTAGCTCGTGATCCTGAAGAAGGGTCATTTGGAGGTACTAACGACATTATAATAGAGTATAGATTAGATATTTTAAAGATGAACTGATAAGTTTTTATGGAATTACGTCTTTGATTCCCAAGATCATTGAGATCAGAAGACCATTTGATCAGACTTTTGATATAGAGACTTTTTGAATTTTGTGCCTGATTTAAGATCCTGAAGAAGGATCGGGATCAGCATTTTCGATACTTGAGATTGAGACAATCATGATCAGTTTGAATTTAAGCATTCCTTTGATCTTTAAGAAACATAATCTCCGAGATCATTGAGACTTTTTGGGACTACTTGTAATTTTGTAATTATTGGACTTTTTGAGATTTTATTGAGGATCGCGCTCATTCAGTGGAGTTTAGAACTTTATATTGATTTGTAAGAATAAATGGAATATAGTAGACACACTACCAAAATCTTGAGTTTTATGTTATGCAAAGAAGTCGAAGGGACTTAAGCCATTTGTTACGTCTTGTAATTTCACAGCGGCGTATACCTGTCATACGTCACCCACTTGTAATATAGTTGTTGACACAAATTACCCTTCGTTTGTGTAAAGTCCGACAGTATTAATGACTATCCGCTACTATGAATAATTAAAATTGTCTGAACTACATGTGAAGAATCTTTCTATATAACCCCTTGAATGGTCTAATGCACTACCGTCCTCAAAAACCGATCATTTAAAATATTTTTGTTCAAAATACTATCATGCCACGACTTGAGAGCATTTTGTTCTTCACGATTTGCTGTAGCGCTGATATGACGTCGTATTTCTCTATTTTTGTAAAAAAAATCGTCGATGGGACAAATTATGTCACGCACATATTAAACAATAACTAAAGATCTATGAAGGGATGATAGTCATGTGATATATCATTGGAATCTTGAGTTTATGAGCATTTTTATGATAATATAATATCATATATTTTCAAAGTTTATATTCATTCCTTTCTTCCCTGGATTAAGCCTACTAAAATTCAAAGGAAAAAAATCGAGATGGGACAATTCTCTGTCACGCACGTTTAAAGGGAAATCTCATACTTAGCTTAATCTAAAGATGTTAAACGTGATGAGTCATAAAATATGGGCTATGAGCATTCTCTACATACCAAATATGTTATCATTTGTTTTCCTAATATCATTTTAGACTGCTATTAAAAACACCCTAATCAATTTTTACAACGTCAAAATATTTTGGAACAAAAGAATGCTGAATTTGACCAAGTCATATTACCTGGTCCAAATACATGCAAAGCAATGCAACTGAACTTAAAATTATAGTGTATGTAGTACAAGGGCAATGCTTTTATGACATTATAAAATATCTAGTTGAATGTCACTAGAAAAACATAATTTCGTGTATTTAAATGACGAGAGTCTTTGAAACCCGCCATATTTCTATCAATTTTTTTCTTGGTACAAAACAGACACAAGTCGCAAAATGCTTGCTATGTAAACAAAATAAATACAAAACATATATTTTTAACGTTAAGTTCTAGTTGAACATATATAGAATAAGTATTAATGACATCTTTTTCATAGGTTTGATTTTTAAATAAGATAATAAGGGCCTAAGGTCCTTACCAACATTTATTTTTCGAGTTTTACACATTTTTACTATTTCTTGGGCATCCAAGATGACGGATATGCGTTGATGACGTCACAAGATCATGTGACGTCATAAACGCCCATCAGCAATTGTTGTCCCATACCGAATTTGAACTAAATTGGTTAAGGAATAAAAAAGTTATGACCAAATTACCATATTTCAAAATTATCAAATGCAACGTTTTACATGGTAAAAATGTGCACTTTAAAACTCAATAGAGTCTTTTAAGCGTCCCTTATCTAAAAAATAGGAAATAAAAATTAAATATTAATATACCATATAATTTTCATTTCAATTACCTATGTTTTGATATCTAATATGTTATATACGAGGCCCGATCAGAAAGTAAGTAACCAAATGCTCTCATTTCTTCATACTTTATTCAATCACATTGAAATTTTCACAGATGATGTAGAATATATTAACCTTTTAAACAAGACCAAGGACAATGGGTTAGCGTCAGTTCCATTGTTATTGCTGTTGCTATGGTGACAATTGTTTTGGGTAGGTTTTGATTCAAACATGACCGTGCTCTATTCGAATTTCTCAACCAATCAGAATGCAGCATAGCCAATATAGAACGTTCTCTAATTCTCCATAGATGCACGACCATGCTCTATTCAATCTGCAATTTGCATTGTTTTGAGTGACGTCACATCTCAGCTGCACATCTGGGGCTCTGTCCGGAGATAGCTGTTCTTTTTTACTCCCTATTTATTTTATTTTATCAACACCCCATGTTTGCATACACCGTATAAAATCTAAAACGGGGAGTAAAATAGAACAGCCCAAACAAATTCTAAAATTTTTCAGGCCGACTTCAGAATCTTGACAGCATGCGTATTCTTCCTTCATGCCCGTTCCACAGACACGGCTTTTACTAATTTTTATGTTTGAATCGGAATAAATAATGATAGGCCATTCAATATGGTGAAATTCAGCACTCGTTGGACAGACTGTTAGTACAAATGCACTCACCTTCGGTTCGTGCTTTGTACAACATTCTGTCCAACTCGTGCTGAATTTCACCATATTGAATGGCCTATCATTATTTATTCCTTAAATAAACTAGAGTTCATGAGCAAAATGATCATATATAATTTAACTCTGTACTGGGCAAAGTTCGCCTCTCAGTATCATCGATCCGCTTTCATTTAGCAAAGGATTGGTATCGATATGGCGAACTGATTGGACACATGTTTCTCTTAAACCAGTCATCAAAAAGTCTGAAAATTTTACACATCGTCAAATTAAAAGATCATCTTTTGAATGGTAACAGTTTAATTTGAAAAATATATATATACTTTTCTCTATATTGTTTTAGACAATTGCAAGATTTATCAGACACTTCTTTTGTTCTCGGTATCATATGTTGGTAGAGTTATACAATGTTGAAAGACCCAAAATAACAATGAAACCAGGCTCATTGCTGATGATGGGACAAGTGCATACAGTAACACCAGAGTATGTTTGTCAAAAGTTCGGAATGAAACAAAACATCTATACGAACCTCATTGGAACAAAACGGCATATACACAACGTGTTTAAGTCTCTCAATATTGTAATTGTACAAAGGCAGCGTACAAATTTGGCTGAAAAAAGTATCTTGTTAATGAAATAAAAGGTTTACTTCAATTTTTATATATTTGTGGGGTTTTGTTTGTTTTTGAATACTTTTCGTTAAAACAACCAAATTTTCCTTTGTTTAACTATAATATTGAGAGGGGTAAGAAAGTGTTGCATATGCTAGTTTGTTCTAACAAGGTTCGGAAAGATATTTTATTTCTCTACCGTGTTTTTTACAGAACGTTTTCAATAATTGGTTTAAGAAAAAAAAAGTTGAATTCAGTTCGCTATAGCGATATATATCGATACAAATCCTTTCTTGCTAATGTTGACGGAAACAAGATTTCAGTTATATTGGCTATGGGAGTCGTGTTTGACTCGCCTTTTACCTGACATATACGTGTATGATAGAAAATCTCAGTAATTGAATTGTCAAAAAGAGAATATTTGAAACAATATTTACAACAATATTCACCCAACAAAAGTTCCATGCTGATGACGAGAAAAATTAAACATAAAAACATGTTTTGAAACATATTTTTCTTATTCAGAAATAAATCATATACTACAGTATATGCTGAATTTTATCCGATTGTAAATAAATTATTTCTTTAAAGAGTTTCCTATAAAACTATATAGGCTGATATTGCACATGTCCATTTATTTGCTGTATACGTTAGTCAAATCAAATATTAGCGGTTTGTTTATTTTCACTGCCAGTAGGTATCAGTAAGGTTCATTGCATACTCCTAAGCAGATATCCAGAATCCGAAAGAGAGTTGTGGATCGTGAAGCCCTGTGATCGAAGGATGGGTCCATTGTAGTTGTAGCACATCACATACCGATGTATGGCTCATTGAATGGATATTCTGGACTGTCTGCCAATCTGTATGCAAATTAATAGTATCACAAAAAAGTTGAAATACGATGATGGTGATTTTGTTGTGTCATTTCCAAATGAACCCCGATGTCAACATGTACATTGTAGATTTACAAAAAAATTACCACAGGCCGTTAGTCAGGATTTTTTAGAATTTTGGCCAGGGGTGGGGGTTCGCTCGAATCCATCGACCCCCCTGGCTACGGGCCTGTATCAAGTGTATCATCGAGTAAACCTGGGACATCAATAGTTACAACGTGTCGAGGAAATATGATGATACTCTCAAATGTGACTAAAACTACCGTCACTTATCAAAGAACAATTAGCAGTGGATCGTTCTTCCTCAAGCTTCTAGAGACCAGAGGACAGTTAAAACATTAATTATGACAATATATGCATGTCAGCAATAAATGATATTAAAAATAATATCTCTGCCTTTATTTTGGATTATTTTATTTTACATATACAGGGTGGTCCAAAAAAATTGGAACATTTGATAATTGAACGCAAAACCTTTATTTTTCTTCTAAAATGCACCAAACTTTAACTGAGCATAGTTCAGTCACTTATTTATCTCATGTAAAGTTTATGGGTGCAAACAACAGAGTTAATGCATTAAACTAGACAATGTTTGATATGACCCCTCAACTCCTGAATTACAAGTTGAAGCCTGGGACTCAGTTTTGAAATGATTCATTCACCTTGCTGTTCGTTTGATTTTGTCCAAGCCATCTTGATTAAAAAATTCAGCTTGAACAAACTACTTATATGTTTGCCTTGGAAGATCAAATATGTGAACACATTCAACATTTTTTACCCAAATTGATGGGCATCAAGCATATTTTGATGGCTATCATTAGGTGTATTACTGATTGAATATTCTCAAGAAAGAGGCCAGGGCAGTCTGTTTTGACTGGTAAATGAGCCCCCCTCCCCCTTTCTTGTTCTAATGTGGATAATATTCATTGAATATATCAATATTATGTATATCAATATCATAAAGGAGTTTCCCTGAACACAAATGATATATTATATGTGCTTAGAGGTGGTCTTAAATAAGGCCTTGTAAATAACTGGTCAGTTTCCCCTTTACTGAAAAGTGGAAACAATGATTTTGTCACTTTAGTAGCTGTATGGGTTATGCAATCACTCACCTCTTACACGTTCTTTCTTTCCTACTCTTAAATAAAAATAATGATTTGGAGTATTCTTAAGTTAACAATAACACAATAGTTTTCTAGTAAACCATAGATGTTAATACCTCTTGTTCATTAAATATGATTTTATAAAATGTGTATAGCAATCAACATGTTCACTAAAGCGTTGAAATAAAGAAAACTTGAAAAAGTAGCGGCGAAATTGACAAGTGTATATTTGAGAAAAGGGGGTCATATCAAACATTAATTTAACTTTGTGACTTGCACCTATAAACTTAACATCAGAGAGATCAGTGACTGAACTATGCTCAGTAAAATTTTGGTGCATTTCAGACAAAAAATAAAGGTTTTGTGTTCAATCAACAAATGTTCCAATTTTTTTGGACCACCCTGTATATTTTATTTACTTACGGTTCTAACTTCAGTATCCTGAAATCTCTATTAAGTTCGTGCAACGACTTCATGTCTTCCACGCTGAATTCAAAATCAAATATCTGAAATAAAGAAAAAGCTGGAAATAAAGATTCCCAACATGCCTAATAGTAGCATAACCGGCCTTGGGTATACTTTTAGACCATACCTATTAAACAAGAAACAGCGACATTTAGAAATACATCTTGAATAGTGATTCCCTAAGTAAACTACCTAGTACCTGTATGTTATCGGTTTGCCTTTGTTTGTCGTTGCTCTTTGGGACTACGCCCACACCTCTCTGTATTTGGTATCTTAGCATTATCTGGCCAGGGGTTCTCTTATATTTCTCCGCCAGTTTTAATATAGTCTCATTTGTGTTGAAATATGGATCCTTCTCAGGGTCATTATCCCTAAAACAAAATTCTTAGATATGTTAATAGTTTTTACATTGATTAATTTGAATGGTAGGTTTTAATTTACAATCAAAGGAAGTGATAAAAATAATCAAAATTCATGTTTATGAATTTATCGAGATTTATTAATTTATTTCATGAAAAGATTCAATTTTCAGGTGATTTGGAAATACTTCTTAAATAGGGATGTCCTCCTTTTTGATTGAACAGGTCAAATTTTGTATCACGGATACAACATTTCTTCCGTATTTGATTAGAAATTTCAAATGTACGTTTTTCAGATATCAAAAGGATCATAAGGAAGGAATACGTTAACTTATTTATAGACACGATTGTTTTCATTTTACACACTTTTTCTTGCTGTCACTTTAAAATCGGCCACAATGGAACCCTAGAATTAATAACTGACATTGACATGTATTCACATCTCAAAATCACTGCCACTGTCTGTCAGCTCGATTTCTGCTGACAGGTAAGTGCGATTTCCACACAATATTCGTGCAATTTTCGCACTGACAAATTGATTGCAGATTGGCGGTGTACCAAATAATCCACGATATCATTTGATTTGGAAACTCATTGACCATGTTCAGTTCTGTACGATTTTTGAAATAAAAGCTATGAGAACAACAAGCTATCGGGGAAGTTTGGAACTGAAATCAAATTACCAAGTTCTGTACGGCTTGCCAAGTGGGCTATACGCAACAACGTTAATGGTGTTCTTTTTGCAGAACTCGATTAGTGGTGTGTTCGTAAAGAATGGATTGCTCTCGATCTGTAACACCGCTGGAATGATTGAGCAATTGTCAAGGATCCTCTGTAGTTGATGTTGGTTGAAGTTTGACATTCCGATGGATCTAGCGAGCCCCGATGCTACACATGCTTCCATTCCCTGTATTGCAGAACATGTACATGTTTACAAATTAATTCAAAAACATGTCAAACCTGATATTAAATCAAACCAGCATCGATACTATGTGTAAATACTGCTTTCAGTTTGAAGTAAAATTCCAATTGAGAAATAATAAGATAAGATAAAAAGATAAAAAGACACTTGGTCATGAGAAAACAAACCCAAACGGTTCAATCAACATTCTACATAGCTACATTCCCAATACTGTTCGAGAATAACCATGTACTAAACTTCACATCTACGGATGCCATTACAATAAAATATGTTGATGGAAAGTAAAAAAGATTATAATATAATTTCAATACCCTGATGCTGAATATTCACCTGCCAAGTTTCTACGTAGTCTGTCTTAGAGTAAATACTTTTTCCATTTTCGTCTTTTGGCCAGGTCTGCTCTGTTGAATACTGGAATTGAAATTTTCCTATTTTCAGAGCTATACTCGAAATATTCACACATTGGGAAAGAATGATCGAGTATGTGAATGAATGAGCTATAGACTGCTAGTGGATGAGTGGGGGAAATAAATAGTTGTTTTAATGTAACTATACTAGGGCTGTATTTTTGTATGCCCGCGGTGCAAGTGGATTGCGTAATATTTCAATGAGTTTTCACCCCAGGTATCACTAAAAAGAGCAATAAGGCCCGTAGTGCAAATTACATGCTCACGTGTTTTCAACAAAAACAGTTCATCCAAGTGCTCTTACATTCACATAATTATTTTGAAAGACATCACGATTCATTGCAACCGACCCTCTGTGGTGCACTAGCAACTAGCCGACGCGGTTGACACACGCGGTTAGCCGATTAGATTGACAAGCGGTGTAAGTGCGCTTGAATGAGCTGTTTTTGTTGAGGCTTATTGTTCTTTTTCGTGATATCTAGGGGAAAACTTATTAAATATTATGCAATTGACTTGCACCACGGGCAGTTCAAAAACGCAGGCTAGTGCTGTATTTTTGTTTGCCCGCGGTGCTAGTGAATTGCGTAATATTTTAATGAGGTTTCTCCCCAGGTATCACTAAAAGAAAAATAAGCCATACAGTGCAAATTTCCAAGCGCACCTACACCAACATACTAATAATTCTTTTGAAAGCGACCATGGTTTATTGCAGTGGAACTCCTGCGGTGCACTAGCAACGAGCAGAAGTGGTTGACACACATGAGCAGCCGACAAAGTTGCTACAGCGTAATTAGCGGTTTAAGTGCGCTTGGATGAATTGCTTTTGTTGAAAATGTGCGCGCACGGAATTCGCAACGCATGGGTTCATTGTTCTTTTTCATCATACTTAGGGGGAAAACTTATTAAATATTATGCAATATACTTGCGCTGCGGGCAGTTCGAAAACGCATTCTAGATTAGTGGATGAGCTACAGTAGTTGCACAAAGGATTGAGTCAAGTATACTTTACTCATACTTACCACCATCGGTGTAGGCCAATGAATCAGATAGAGGTCGACATACTCGAGGCCAAGATTTTTCAAACTCTTCTGCAGACATTCCTTTACCCTGTCCTTCTCATGGTATGGGCACCACAACTTAAAGAATATATAACTATTTTGGCAGTACTTTATCTGTTGAGAGTCATAGATCTAAAATGGCTCTAGACTAACACGCTTTTTCTTACCGTAGGTTGGGTGTAGATTGGGCAATTCTGTGTGTTCAGAAATCTTTTGAACTCCTAATTGAGGTCCTAAGAAACATATCAGTCATTCCATACATGCCGTATATCGTTCAGTTTTGCAGAAAGAGTACACAACTATACATACGAGATTTCTAGTTAAGGGGAAATACGATTCTAAATGTAGTGGCAATTAAAAAACCCAATGGCCTACTTTTACAAAAATGTAGGTCACATAATTTTTTCATTTTTATATCGGGTGGGCATGAAATGGGCAGCACTTTGATGCTAGCTTGCTCCATAATCCTTTGTTCAAGCCCTTTCAAACTTTAGATCTAGACTTTTAAATGGCATGACGTTGTTAATAAACTGATTAATCATCAAGGCCATAGCTTGAGTAGTCTGTGCACAGGGTTAAAATGAAAACATAGCCTCAAAAACGCACATTCCAGTGATCCTCATTGCATCACCTGTGTTATGGGTAGTGCGCGCGTTATACCCGTGTGATACGCATTCATCAAGTGTTTCGTGGAAGAATTGTGTAACTGCCAAAGAAACTCTTCTGCCAGCTGATAAGCACACGTTTGGCTGAATCAAGATGTTTAGTTTTCTCTTTGGCGGATAAGGAATTGATCGCAACATGTTTCAAGGAAAAGGGGAACAAAATTGCGAAAGAATTCCTGAATAAAAGTTCCGTAATCAGAAAGTTGAAAAGACAGGTTCTGCTGTAGAATGGAAATTGAAGTCATGCAGTGCATGGACAACCATAAACTCTTTGCTCCCAAAGAACGAACAAGAGAATATGGACTTTAAGAAGGGATGAAACAGTTTAACAGAATGGAAAAACAGTTGAAGAAACGTTTATGATAAATTTTCGACTGAGAATATGACAAAAATTGGCATCACAGACGAAAAGAACTTTCCATTTGAGATTGCGTGCAAAAGACAGACGATCGCGTTTAATACAAACGAAAGTGGGCCATTCTTGTTATCTTCTGGAGAAAAATTACTCTTAATGAGATTCTGGACTCAGTCAATTTATGGGAAAAACCATCTCCCGAGAAGATTGAGGATCAATAGACCACATTTTCAAATGAAACTTGTAAATATGTCACTTTGAAATGTCCCGAACATGCGTTTTCGACTAGTTTTTTCGATTTTGGTCCCTTGAACAGAAATCCTACTTGGGAATTATTTGAAATTTCGTTTGCAACTTCAATTGGGAAACCATAAAAGGACTAGTTAAAATAGTTGAATTTAATTCATCAAATCACAAGCAGTCGTTTCTGAACAAACGTAACTGCCTTACGTTCGCACGTAAGACCAGTAATTATTAAAATTATAGGGGTGTTTGTTGTAAAATCAACTCATCCAAACACCTGTTGCAAGTAAATATTTACTTCGTGACATCTGAAAGTAATGATCCACCTCTACAAATTAAACTGCTTATGTTCATAATACCTTGGTTGTTACAAATAAATCCTTCCTGGTCACTGTTCCATCTTGTATCTTCCCCCTAATAGCCTCACCGACAGCATCTTCTGTGTTGTATATGAATGCAGTGTCGAGGTGTCTGTAGCCTGTCACAATGGCCTGTGTGACACTCGATACAACAACGTCAAATACACTTGTGTACTAGTAAATAAAGAAAAACGATAGATGCAAGAGATGACACTGGCATGTCTGGCACACAGTGGCACTTGGAGCTTAATGACCCAGTCACATTTGATCTACGGCAACGGCACGGCGACCGTAGCTTCCCAAATTCGAGAGAAATATGCATAAAATGTACGGATAAGCAGTACGATGTAGATTTTCTATATTGACTTGTTTTGTGAGGCTACGGCCGCCGTAGAGCAAATGTGAGTGTGGCTACATGCAGCATCCACACGAATGATATCATCACAGAAGACATTTGTTCGTTCGATCTACTGACGATTTTTACAACTTACTTGGTAGTTGCCTTGGAATGTCCCCAGTCCAACCATTGGCATCTCCACCCCATTGTTTAGAGTGATACACTCGGCAATTCCTGTCATGATCTTACATGTATATCCCAAGGCTCAAGATATTACGATCATCCAAAGCAAATTAAATATGAGACTCTAACACAATAGGGCATACATGTAGGGCATACGGCATACAATATATATATAACGAGCGAGTAAGTGCAATATATCAAGATAACATTGCTTGTAAACAGTAAATGCATAAAGTTAAAAGATACGAGCTCAACATATAGTATGTGCCAAATCTCTTCCAAAGTGGCTTAGTTAGTCTAAACCGATGTTGAGGTAGATTACTAAGAAGTGGCCCATAGTCATTAAAGATCGGTTCATTGACTTTTCATTTTCACTTGTCTGCAGTTAATTAGGTGACACGAAAGGGCTAAACGGCTTGCCCCAAGGTGCAACCGTCAAAAATATGAGTTTGAAAAAAATCATGTTTTTCAAATAATAGCAGTGAGTATATGAAATATGAGGCATATTTGATATTGATATGTATGATAGTCTATTTGGGTGTGGTCATTTTTATTAAAAACAATAATGGTGAAGAATTATACATTACTGACCTTGAAATGCCATTTTAATTCAAAAGTCACTGTTGCTAATGATAATATTCCTATTTTACATATTCAATGTTTTCTAAATGTTTCAATTACCATTATGTTAGTTTTTGGCAAAGTAAATAATTATAGGGGTCACACAAGGATCCACTTTATTTAGAACTTTTTCATATTTAGTGATGATTTCAAAAAATACCAAGTTTAACACAATTTTGTTTGTTAAATATTAAATAAAATGATGGTATTGTGTTTGTTTCATTGTTTCAACTAAAAATCGCAATTCATTGCTCTTGCTCTTAGAGCTGCAGGGCATATACCAGTTCAAAAAGTGTTCAATAAAGTTGATCCTTGTGTGAGCCCTATGATTATTTACTTTGCCAAAAATGAATATAACGATTATTCAGATATATAAAAATCCTTTAATAGGTTAAATAGGAATACAATGATTGACTTTTGAATAGAAAGGCATTATACATGTACATATGTAGTTGTTGCAGTAAAATTACCAAACCAAAGTGGACTATCTTTCCATATTAATAGCAAATGGGCCGTCTATTTGCATTTTACTGAAATTATTTGTATCAAAAGTTTATTGTGATAAAGCAGGCAGTGATTTTGATACTTGTTTAGCTTGCAGACAGTGATCTAGTCGAGACAACATCTTGTAGTAATGGGTGTAACAGTGATGAGGCAGGAATTGATTTTATAAATGCAACTTTTGACAATTCTGTTATTGATGGTTTATCTAACAGTTAGCCATTTTGTCCAACATTCTGCTTGGACGCCAAATTAAAAGATACTGATTTGCATCACATCAAGTTTGATTTGTTCACCGATGTTTGTCAGAGTGATACCTGTAGCAGCTGCACTTGACTGATATGCAACACGATATATGTGAGCTTTCATTGCAACATTTACATTTAGAACAGTTACAATTTTACTTAGTCTGATAGAAAATTAGATAATTGAAGTATATTTCTTTGAGTTTATTCAATTTGAACATTACTTTTACAATACAGATACCTTCGTTTTGAAACATTAGCAGCAAACGACCAGTTTTCAACTTTGAATGTTTAATTTTTGTTCATAAAAAGTGTATTCTACAAAAGTCAAGGTCATTTCAAGGTAAAATGTCAATATTTAGGTAGTTGGCTTTTTAAGACCCGACCCTCCACAACCAATGATTAGGTGACCTGAAGTCAAGGTCTGAATAGATCAAGGTAATTTTAAGGTCAATATCTAGCAAGTTGACATGAGAACAATTGTGACCTTTGGCGACCAATGAGAAGGTGATTTCAAGGTAATTTCAAGGTCAAAGGTCAATATCTAGGTCATAGGTAGTTGGCTACTGTGGGTCTTCAGTAACATTTGATCACCAAAGATAAAGTGACCTACGGTCAATGTCACTGTTTATGGCTCAAGGTCATCTCAAGGTCAGAGATCAATATCTGAATATTTGGCATTTTGGGGATGCTGCTTCATGTGAGGACCCATTGATATGTGTTCTGAGGTCAAGGTCATTCATACAAGGTCAAAATCTCTGTATTTGGCGTTTTGAGGCCCTGGGGGCTGCTATGACCCTTGGCAACTCATGCTAAGGTGACATGAGGTCAAAGTCAATATCTATTGTTCAAAATTATAATAAGGTCAAAGGTCAATATCTAGGTAGTTGGCTCGTTTGAGGCTACACCGACATTTGATCACCAATGATAAAGTGACCTGAGATCACTGTCATTGTTATAGGTCAGGGTCAAAGATCAATATCTAAATATTTGGCGCTTTGGGGCGGCTGCTGCACTTGACTCCATTGAAACGTGACCTAGGGTCAAGGTCAATCTAAGGTCAAATCTCAATATCTTAGTGTTTGGCGTTTTAAGGCCACAGGGGCTGCTGTCGTGATGTGGCCCTTGGCGACTCACGATAAGGTGACATGAGTCAGTCATCATTTAATGGTTCAATTCAAGATCGTCTCAATGTCAATATCTAGGTTATTAAATTTATTTCAATAGAATACAAAAAATGTAAATACAGACATGTAAATTCTTAAATCGCCACAATGGCATTATATAAGAATAGGGGGCAGGTGGAAGTAGAAGTGGCAGAGCAGGCAGGGTCTTGGACTAGGGCAAGTGTGACGGGACTTGAGGATACTAGAGATGGATAAGAAGGAGGGAATTAGCTATTGTCTTTGATAAAATTAACAATGAGAAGTAGTATTTGGGAATTTGCATCTATGTTTAATTTGGGAATTCCTGTTTTCAAAATAGCTATGAAATCAGTTTGAGAGAGATTATGACTGAAGATGTTTGGTTCGAGATCAGTGAGTTTGTCCATGAATTGCTGTCTTTGTATAGTAAGTAAGTCACATTGAAAGAGAAAATGTTTCAGAGTTTGTGGTTTTCCACAAGTGCAATTAGGGCTGTCAATAGACTGAAAGTTGTGAGCGTAGAACTGGGCTTTGAAGTATAGGTCAGCTCTCACTTTATTGAGAACTATTTCTTGAACCCTTGTTAGATTAAGCTGGCTTGTTGACAAAATCGAGGGCGTTTTTTGGAAATGTACTCTTTGGTGTTTTTTAAAATTCGAAAGAGTATTCTTAGATTTAATAGCAGGTGGAAGATTGATCCAATTTGAAATTGCAGCTGGTATTGCTGAGGTGGAGAATCTATTTGAGCATCTAATGGGCATTTTAAATGCTTCATTATATCTCAATACTCTGTTTGCATGGTTTCTAAATTTGTCAAAAATATCAGTTACATAGGGAGGACTTGTACCATTTACAATTTTGAACATAAAGTTGTTAATCTGGATACTGCGTCTTGATTCAAGAGTTGGCCAATTGAGTAGGTTTAAAACCTTTTTTGAACTGCTCCCTTGGATACACCCAGAACAATAAAGTGCAGCTTTATAATAAAGACTGTCGAGTCGTTGTAATAGGAACTTTGAGGCTGTGCTGTACAGCTATAAAAATATCATTTTTATGTAAATTGTTACCAAGGAATGATTTAATTAACCTCCAATAGTTTTTATCAGATTTATTGAGTTGGTCAATTGAGGAGATAGTTTTGAGTTCATGTGCCTCTTTGGCTTGTTCAATTAGTTGGGAAACTTTAGAAGCTTGTTGATTATAATTGAATTTGTTAACTTGATTAGGAGCTTTTGAAAATTTCTTATATAAAACTTTCTTTTTTGATATTTCACGTTTAAGATTATCATTGAACCATGGCTGGTCATTTGACCTTACAGTGATGATTTTATTTGGAATTTTGGATTTGTATATGTCCGAGAGTTTTTCAATAAAGTTAGAGGTAGCTAAGTCCAAGTCTATGTTTAAATATAGACTAGGTATTGGTGTTTCAAGGCACTCGGGGGATGCTGTTGACGCTTGGTGACACATTACAATGGTGACACATTTCAATTGACATTTCAAAAGTAATAGTCGATCATTTCTGTTTTATCATGTCAATTTTAGTAAAATTTGCCAATTTGAAGTAAAATTATAACAGAAGAGACCCAAATGTGAGGTCATATTAATGACTGCACTCAGTAATCTTCAGTCAAGCTGACGAAGTTTTTCATGAAAGAGTTACTTTCTGGTGTGGTTCTAAATTGAATAAGTATAAGCAGGTGCGATTTCAAAAATGCAAATTTAAAGCAAATTTCGCAAAATTTAGTTATTGATATGTAGAGATAGTCCATTAGGGTATGGTTGAAAACAATTATGGTACAAATTTGGTACTTCTGACTATATAATGCTTTTTTATTCAAAAGTCAATTATATTATTCTTATTTTGACTATCAAATGATTTTCATATATCCGAATAACCATTATATTAGTTTTTGGCAAAGTAAATAATAGTAGGGATCACACAAGGATCAGCTGTATTGAAGATTGGTCATACTGGTATATGCCCTGTCGCTCTAAGATCAACGGCAATGAATTGTGATTTTTCAGTTGAAACAGGGAAACAAACACATTATCATTATTTTGTTTAACATTTAACGAATAATTTTCTTTTAAACGTAGTAATTTTTCAAAACATCACTAAATATGAAAAAGGTGTAGATAAAGTGGATCCTTGTGTGAGCCCCATTATTATTTACCTGGCCAAAAACGAATATAATGGTAAGTGTAATATATAGAAAACATTGAATAGGTAAAATAGGAATATAATTAATAACAACTGTGACTTTTGCATTAAAATGGCATTTTAAGGTCAGAAATGTATAATTCTTCAATATTATTGTTTTTAATAAAAATGACCACACCTAAATGGACTATCATACATATCAAAATCAAATCTGCCTCCTATTTCATATACTCGCTGCTATTATTTGAAAAAAAAAAGATTTTTGTCAAACTCATCTTTTTGCCGGTTGCACCTTGGGGCAAGCCGTTTAGCTCTTACGTGTCACTTTTTTGAGTGCAGACAAGTAAAAATGAATAGTCAATGAACCAATCTATAATGACTATGGTTCAACTCATAGTAACCTACCTCAACATCAGTTAATGGGATTTTCTGGAGTTTTGACGCATACATGATGTATATGTATTGGAATGTATACAGGCACTCCATCTTTTTAACTGCTAATTGTATATCCTCTGGTTGTTTCAAAAGCCTGCCATCTTTTAGCTGTTCCCATCGCCAAGGTAACTACCGAGCTATTATTAAATAGGGCTTTACTTATATTTTGCTATCATTAATCATAGATCTAAGATGTTTTACACATACTAATCTTAGTTGAGACTCATGCCTTAGACAACCACGAGGACAACGAGTCGTCTTCAAACTTCTTCCTTTAATTGATTAATTACTACATAAATTAAAATTAATATAGAAAGATACCGCCTCTGAACTAAATCATAAACTAACTAATCGTACATTATGTTGAAAGCAAAAGTATACTCACGCTCGTATATTGCATGGAGTTTTTCTGTTTGCATTTCATTTACAGTTAATTAAGGATTCAAAGCGAGGTCAATTAATTGTGAAAATGAAACAAAAGACCAACACTGATTAATATGAACCAGAAATTAAAACATTTCCTTATTCAGAGAAATAAACTGATCCAATGTTTTTCATTGCAGGTATTGCATATTCAAAAGTAAGGAGCCTTTAACACGCAAACCACTGTGGGAGATGGGGTTTGAGGGTAAGGTGTCTACATGTTCCCTACGTATGTTTGACAACTGGAATGTTAGAAACTTATTAAGTTTGTTCCTTAATTTACAATAGTTCGGATTTTTTGACAACTTTAACGATTTTCTTAAAATTGCCAAACATACAGAGTTTGATAACTGAATCCATATGGGACATCCGGTTAACCAAACTTAATGAAGGGGAGTGTCAGACCTCATTCGTGGATTACATTTCTTGAAGCGATGGGACTAATTGAAAAAGTCGGGTATATAATAAATACATAACATATTGATTAAGATATCAGATTCCTCATTAGATGTAATTATGTCGCATAGCTTTGGCATATATCATTGTTACTGCTACTTGCTTGTCAATGGTTGTTTATTGTTTCTGTTATTGTTTCCCTTTGCCTATTTAATACCTAACAATTCAATGGATATATTGTGTATATATAGATCATGTAAATATTACTACAAATCATGGGCTTTCACAGAAGGGTATGCAACTTCCCATATTTCATACATTGCTTTAGGTTTTCAAAATTGGAGAAAAATGCTTCCTTTACACATTCCAAGAAAAATCTTATTTTGTACTTTTCTAGTATGATTTAAAGAAATAACTCAAAATAAAAACATGATTATCTGCATACATGTTGATAATTTAATTATAAATGGAATTCATCATAATTATGGCAATAATGAAAGTGAATATTCTATCACAAATTATATTTTTAGCTTCCTAATCCTGGTCATCTCAACCCCAAGTCAACTCAACCCCAAATCAAGTCAACTCCAGTAAAACTCAACCCCAAGTCAACTCAACCCTGTAAAACCCAACCCCAGTAAAACTCAACCCCTATATTTCTTCAATTGATAAACTTATAAGAAAGTTTATTTTGATTATTCAGTTTGTGATTTTCATTCTTAGACCACTGCCTTTTAGATTAAAGTTGATAATGAGTTTATCTCCAAAATCTCAACATGGTACTAATAGGATTAAAATATGGGTCACTTTCCAGGGGCATAGCCAGCTTTCAGTCAGGAGGGATGCGATCGCCCAAAAAATCAGGTTTTCAGTCAGGGGGTGCCGATCGTGGCATATTCGAGCCAAAAAAGATATGTTTTGACAAAAAATGATGCACCCCTCCTGGCTACGCCTATATGCTTTCAGTCTATCAATTAGTAAATGTTAATGATTTTGTTAATGCATGTTCATATAAATAAAAATTTATATTACATTGTTAATTATTTCTAAATTATCATATAAATAAAAAGTTATATTACATTGTTAATTATTTCTAAATTATCTAAAATTTGATTTCAAAAGATGTCTTAAATTAAATAATAGTGACAACTTGATGACTTATCCTTGAGCTTAACCGTTTTTTGGAATACTTTCACAACTTTCAATTCAAAGTATCATGCAAAATGCTAGATTTTCAGAAATGAATGACTTAAATTATTCATCATAAACGGGCGTGGCCAGGCATGGGGCAGGCGGGCAAAACGATCCTCCAAAAATCTATATTTTTACTTTTTTCAACTAAAATTTTGGAAAATAAGTTCAAAGGTAGAAATACACATCTTTCCATCTTTTTTTATTCAGTTGTTAAGAAGAGCATTTCGGATGTGTTCTATTGATACCTTTCGATTTATAGGAATTCGTTGAAAGCGATGATTTTTAACATCAATGTCAATTTATTTCTAATTTTGTACTCTCAAATTCTCAAGATGGCGTCAGACGCCGCAACAGATGATGACACCATTGGCAAATGCTTCCATCTTAACAAACTCTTGAGAAAAATCGAGTGTCCCTTCTTGCCCCGTTTCCCGTTTTACTCCGGTCTCCCCTAGCATGTCGAGCTTAGGTGTACATAACTCACAGATAGTTGCTCAATTGCGCACGAGTGGTGTGTATTATAGATCACACACAATACTGAGGTTCAGATATACGCTATTAAATTGAATAAAATTCCGAATATGTCGTGTTATTTTCGTGTTATGTTTGCTATGGTAAAATGAATTATTCAACTGTAACACTAGGTTATATGGAGATGAGAATCTAATTGACTATTTCAGATTGTACACCTCAACATAAATTGTGGTTGCCTCACCAAGAACGTGGTTTTCCATATGCATTGCTGAATTCCCAGACCCCAGCTACGATATATCTTGTCGCAAATTATCGTTCATCAACGTAGTATGCAGTTTCGGAGGTATTTGCAATTATCTCAGTTGTTTTCAAAGTTTCTTTCTAAATACAATTAGAAAAGTGACTCGTTCAAATTGTGAATAATTATTTTTGAATGTGTATCTTTCCCCTTAGGAGGATCTGGATGAGGTGATAAAACTAGCGACGGATATCCTAAGTGTTACTATGGTTACTGTGAGATGCTCCCATTCAAGAAACAGTCCCGGATTACAGCGATCTACCAGCCGCTTGATCTTTGTGTCACAGCCCGTGTACAATGAGCAATTTCTCTTTTTGATGTTTTGATATCATCACGTCATGGGTAATATTAAATTGAAAGACTTGTCTTATATTTCTTGACATTCAATCTAGGTTTAATAACTCACTGTCATTCTAAAAACTGGTTTCGACAGAGGCCTACAGGGCCGCACTTGCTGCATGTAATTTCACATCCATGGCTATTTATGAACTACAATCACAGTCTTTGTTTGTTTTGAGGCGTGTTTGTTTAAACACTTTAAAGACAACATAATTGATTGTTTTTTATAATTTTTACTTGGAGTTATTTAACAACATGACCAGTTAGAAAAATGAAGTTAATACAAAAATATCTTGGAGGCAGCAACGTTGATGTTTTTATATAGAAATAGCTTAAGAATCCGAACTGTGCCATCCCTGGGGATGCTATCATCATACAGTATACACCCTCCTCATAAACTATCGCAACCAATTGTGCCCTTTAATATTAAGGGTTATTTATGATGATAATAACAGCTATATTCCTTTAATATACACGATTGTACTTCGCGGAGAAACTGGGATATTACTTCGACCTTAAACATTCCATTTACATCCTCAACCGTTGACCCTATTAATTTACCACTTGATGGAAATCGGCCAAAAAATAGACTTAGGGCCAAAATTCAAATTCGAGTGCCAGTCGATTTATGAAAAATTGACTTTTCGTGGCTTGTGATCGCCAGACTGCTAAAACGCCAAGCTATACTATCCTTACTATAATTCTCAAAACTTGTCGAAATGGAATCCCATTCAAAGTCGTAATTGATTAAATAATGTCACTTCCATAATTATAAATTGCTAAAACATGTTACCACGAAGGAAGCCATTCTTCTAATATACAAGATTTGAGTATCTCATCTTTACAAGTCACCATTGCCAAAGATGAGGCACCATTGCCAAATACCCAAATGCAGAAACTGAAAAAGGTATCCCTCCTAAGTTGGCTTCTCAATCTAGCATTCCCCTCCAATACTGTACAAAGTGAACTCACCAGTGTACTTGTAAAAGATTGACAATTTTCTATATATAAATGGAAAAATAGATGGCAGCATGGGTGTTGGTAGGGCCAGAATACATGGAAACATATTACAAGAGTCAACCCATTTCTTGATCTGACATGCAGTTCCATTACGATCAACTTAAAACACCATTGGAATGTAACTATATGAGTTTATCGACATGTGTATTATGATTTATCATTACAATTCCAATACGCGATAACGTTCAATTTAGGTCAGTTTAGTTACCTCCCGTCTGAAGAGCTCTCATGCATGGTACAACTTCGTCTACATCTAGGTTCTTTCCCATTGGATTACACAGGGGTGCTATTTTGACTCGTTCGGCGGGCCAATGAAAATTTGGCCCTTCCAAAGTGATGCATCATGGGAGATATTTATGTTAATTACCACATGAACTTTTATCGCGAATAGGAGTATTGTGATCCTTATAAGAGTAAATGAACTTTTAGAGGTTTTTCAACAATGTGAATGGGGATTTAGCCCGACCTTTTTCAGAGAACTTGAAAAACTTTTTGAACAAAGATAAATAATTATACAAATCAAAGTTGTTTGATAAAAATTAAATTCAGAATTCAAATATGCCATCATATAGAAAGAAATGTCTTTAATGGTTAAATGCAGATTTCCTCAGATTTCATTAATACGAGACGTTAACGAAACTTCAAAGCCATATGGAAAAGGCTCTATTCAAGGGAAGCGCCTCACAAGACGGTTCTCTTACCGGTTTCATTAAATCCGATGGTTCCCCCTCAAAAATTTAAAAGACGTTGTAAATATAAATATGATACATGTTTTTTTTTTGTCACGTGACATACTCTGTAACAATACCCCCACCCTTAAAGAAAATGGCAAAATCATATTAATTCTCATTAATATTAACTAGATAAAATTACTCAATGAAGTGACTGCCTATGAGGCATAGCGGATCAATGTGGGTAGGCGGCAGCGTTGGTATTAGATGTCCATTACATTACGAGTGTCTTTTACCGCCACAGCTTGCAGCTGAAGAACATCTTGGGTGACCATTACTCTCTCATATAACCTGATAATAGGATTAAGACAAGGTAAGATATAAGTATATTTGAAAAGGATATTCGATAGCATAATAAATGCGAACTTTATTTCACTTCATACAATTTTTCTTTAATTGTTTTATATGCATTTGGCATCCTGTTGTCAGGTCATTTTGTATGTTATCAATTTACTTTGATGCGATAATAAATAATAATATGGCAATGAAAAGTACGTTTCCAGTAGAAATTAAATAAGGGGATCCATATATTTATGTTTTGGTTTGTATTTATTGTATTTATTGTATCCGCAACGCGGATTGAGAGTTATAATCATAGTTTGCTGGGATACTGTTGTGGTTTGGTTTTCATTATGGCTGGTTGTTGCGCTCAAAGACTTTTCTTTTTCTCATGTTTTGTAATACTCTTTGATCACCTTTGACACAATGCTTGCATGTTTTGATGTTAACTAATGTTGTTCTTCAACATGTATTGCAATAGCTTCACTATGAATGATCATGACATATCGAATGGTCTTATTGTTTTGTATTAACGATTTCTGAATGGGGCGGCTTAAGTCACAACTTCTGTGCATGTCAGAATTCTTGGGAATTACTTCCAATGACAAGTTCTCTTATATTAACTTATCTAATCGTGTTATGTATAATGCATTTTGTTCTTTCCCCTTTAATGATAATTCATATCGGACTCCATTTAAAATTATAGATAAGGATTGTTATCCGAGATTTTTGTAAAAATTGTTTTTTTTATGTCCCCTTCGATAAATTGCACTGCGGTGTGGGTTTTGATCACACAGATAAAAAGTAAAAGTTGTCCTCGAAGATTCCTGGAGATTGCTTAAAGTGTTCTTGAAATGAATCGGAAACTATTCTCAATATTCGGTAGTGAACCATGTTATTTCACACCTAATTATAATACTTTTAAACTTTTATCAAGTTCTACAAATTTTCTTAGGCTTAATAAACATGTTTTGTTCTTAGTTGTGATTTTGACGTCATACACTGACTCACAAGTAGGTGTTCATCATAAACATTACATTGTTCTATTTATCAGTCTTCTACTTAATGCTAATATGGATTCTAGTTTCTCAACAATAGCGAAAACAAACACCAACTAGACTTCAAGTTTATTACAAAATGTTACCAGAGATCAATAAACATCCCCTTACTCACAACAATTGTCTAAAATATTGATGTCGATTTTGGTGACAATAACTTTCTGATTGATTTTCTTATCCATCTCCAAGCAGGAATATGAAATAAACCCCCATTGTGCTTGACATTTACTACTCAACTGATACCATCTGAATCTAAACCACTGTCCAATTCAAAGGATTTTCTGATAAGTCATAAATGAATTCTTTTCATATTAACAATACCATCGTCTGCGTTTGGAACATCTTCAAGTATTATTGAAGACAGAGAAATAGCAGAACTCAAGGAGTGAGACAAGTTATGGAGATGTTTCGACAAGAATAATTATTTATTAATATCTTACCAAATATTATAGACTCTAAAGATTATTCATATCGATTCAAACCGTTCAAATCAAGGAATTACGGGCCGGGTCCCTGGTTGGTTACCTGAACGAGTTCCCCATTCCATTTCGTTTTAGTACGCGGGAGGTCAGTTGAATTTATTTGCTCTTTTTGATTGATATTTTGAGTTAATGGGGACAAGCGGCTTTGATGGCCATTGGTAATGGTTTTGAAATTGCAAAATCTCCATAAACACCACGGATTGTTCCTTAAGGGTTTCAGACACACGTTTAGTGTACATATTGTATTACCACTGACCATAAATTCACAATTACAATCCGTCTTTACAATCGTTTTTTGTTACAAAATGGACTCCTTGAATCGTATTATTGCGATGATAACTCAGCTAAATTGCTGAAGCAACCTCAGTATCGCTACACGGTTTAGACAAGACAAACGTTTAAGAAACATGACCCCAATGATCCCATTAACCTGTAGACTACTAGTTGATGTAAAAATATGTATCTAGAAATGATCCAATGTAAAATATCTTCTTATGGGTTAAGTTACTTTAATCCTTGGAAGAGCACTGAGCAGATGTACGCTATGGTTAAGACTGTGACGTTTGAGTGATGCCAATATCTATTTGGAATTAATTTTACTCATGCTTCGTTAATCCCATCTTGTTGTGCAAGTGTGTTAGTTTGATTTTTTAAACTTTGTTTGAACTCTCATGGCTTATTCTGTTGGTACCGATTGGTTAAAAATGCATTTATAAGAATAGTTAGTATATTTTTAAGTTTGCAGACAGAGTCTAAGAGGGATCGATTACGATGAGGTATTTTAACATTTCTTAATTGAACTATATTGGTATTTTAAGACTATCACCAATATTCTTCCTTTCCAATTAAAACCAATATCCGTTTCATCCGATCTCTTAGCATTCCCTTTTAATTACGGTTATGGGCATGGCCAGATAATCTTTATGTTGAAAGGCTTTCTTTATGCTTAACCCTTGTGTCACTTTTTGTTTTGCCTCTTAGCTTATTTTTGTACTAACCACATCCTTAAAGTAAAACAGTTGAGACATCTGCAGGGTGGGCCAAAAAACCA